ATTTTTAATAATTGAGCACAACCTTTATTATAGTCTTTTAGCCGATTAGACATTAGTGTAGCATTTCTTAACCAGAAAGAATATGTGGAGCTGCAAATTTCCCATGATTTGGTTTTTGCATGTCTTTGAACATTCGTGGTGAATGACAACAGGACTGAAAAACTGTGTTGTATTGAATTTTGAACCATCTCATGTGATTTTCAAGAGTCTTTATATTTCTTTAATTGTGCTCTTTTGACTCTTTGTTTTATTTTTCCCTCCAGAAATTAGTATCTCTCATAAATATTTAGATACGAGTTAATTATTCATCCAGGATTCTCTTCCATATCTTCACCATTTGTGTTCTTATTCTTGTTATTTTATGTTAGTTCTATTTAGTGCTAGTGATGAAGTGGTTAAAGGCACTGTTAGTGATGCATTCCTGAATAACTTGTCTACAGTGACCCTGGTTCCTGCAACTTATTAAAAATCTTAAAAGGCATTGGATGCATTAATTAATTAACTTGGCATAAAAGGATTCAAGGATGAAATGATTCAAGAGACTGACATCACTTGGATGTTTTATTTTAGATCATTTTAGTTGTTTTTGTCTTCACATTTTTAATGTATTTATTGTTATTTTCTTGAAAATGCAGAAAAAGGAATGTACCACACGCCTTCTGATGAAATACTTTAGCATGTAAGCAATAAAGCATCAAACATTGTCTAGCATCAGCCAACTAAGTTATTATTACTTTTAACTAATCTGACAAATATTTTCACCCTGGAGCTGTGTTGTATCTAAATAACCCCCTATGTCCTTGTAACCAAGAAAAGTCTAAATTATTTCTGTGGTTTGATTCTAGATGACAGCAGTGCTGTGGTCTGTTTTTGTTATTCTTAATGAGAAGCCAGCAAATGTGTGAATATTTGATGATGGATTTAACACTGAGCTAAATTGCGAAAACAGACAGTTTTTATGTCGCAGTGAGTAAACATGTAATAAACTGTTTTTCTAAAAAAAGGGGAGGGGGGGGGGTCTGATGAAGCAAACTGTTTATATCAGCTCATACCCTGTCATCCGATATCAAAGTTGCTGACTTATTCTAGTGTGTGAAATGGTTTTGTTTATGTTTTTGTTTTGTTTTGTTTGCTTATCAGCTCATTAACACATTCCATTTTAAGACCCTGCAAGTCACTTCTTTACATAAAACTGTTTACATCCATCTATCCATTCTCTTCCGCTGATCCTTATGAGGGTAGGCTGGAGCCTATCCCAGCTACCATAGGGCGAGAGGCAGGGTACACCCTGGACAGATCGACAGTCTGTCGCATGGCTAACGCATAGAGACGGACAACCATTCATACTCACATTCACACTTATGAGCAATTTAGAATCATGTCTTTCCTGAAGTCTCTTACGAAATATCGGTGTAAGTGTTTTTTCCATTTATATAAATGTACACACTTAAATACAATGTCACCTCTCCTCCATGTAGTTGAAGCAGGGACTCCTGTTCAGGGGAACGATGAGCTGGAGAAGAACCTGGTGCAAGTGGAAAAGGTGGCCTATAGTCAGGGACTTCCCCCAGAAGCAGTTTCTATTATGCTGGAGTTTGCCATGAGCCTCCGTATGGGTAAGACTGTCTTTGCATCAGCTTCAAAATGGGTCAATTGGGGAATTTCCAGCAGGAAGGATGGGCTTGTGTAACAGAATTGTAGAGAGCAGGAGTCTGTCAGATTGAGGACCTAGCAAATGTACTTTTGGTTACACTTTTCACACTTAATTGATTTGAAAACAACAATTCACCAACAACAATGCCAGTCTTTGTACTGTCAATAGAAAAAGAGAGCATAAGCACAACAGATCTATTGTAGTCTTCCACAATGTAATATTGTGAAGGTTAATTGAAAAGATCTTTATAGTAATATAATATTAATTGTATAGTTTATACAATATAAAGAATTATTATTTCTAATCGATGTGATG